TCCAGATATCAGACCAAATTTTAATGAAGAATTCGTAAATTTGTAATTACAACAAAAACATCACCAGCTGACAACAAATTAATGCTATTCCAACAAACACATCATAATTCTCCCAACAAATTACAAACTGACTTGATACCAATAACACTCAAAATAGTGAGTCAAGTTATCTTTATAATTAGTTTATAAAATATAGCAACTTCATCTAGTCAAACCTAGAACGAGAATCAGAAAATTTTTCAGACAAATATTTTTGACAAAAATGTCCATATGTTAAAAATGACAAAAAATAAAATAAAAATAATTACTGAATTCCGTTTTATTTCCCAAATCTTTTGAACCAGCATACTTAGCTACTTTCCACCCTGTGTTTTCTTAAATAAAGAATTCAATGTTTAACAGTAACACTTCTCAGAATTGAAAGACAGAGCACAGAACAGCCAAAAGATGCTGGTCCGAAAGAATCAACGCTTTATAGTAACAGAACCTGAATTTAAAAACTTGGATAAAAAATAAATAAATAAATAAAAACAAAAAAAACCTTTTCGAAATTAGAGTTCAATTTTTAAAAATTTACTTTATTTTAAGTAGGATGAATTTTCAATATTTATTACTTTTAGATTTCTAGATGTGGTAATTAGATTTTTTTTTTTATTACTGTTGTCAATCAAACTGCAATTTAATTGCTTTTAGCAACCTGAAAACAAGGAACAAAATGTGTTCATTCATATAAAGAATTTGTTGAAAATATTTTAATGCTAAACTGTCATTTTAATATTAAAATGGAATAAAAGAAAGTTATAGATTTGAGAATTTTTAAAAAGAGAGAAAAATTTTGATTATTTAAAAAAAGGAAAACATTTTCTTTCATTTATAAATACTTACCTCTGTTTTTATATATCGTACAGTTTTGAACAGTGATATTCCCTAGAATGTAGGTAAAGTTAAGGGCATCATAGGCACCATATTGAATGGTCACATTGTCCAGGTTGGGAACATATGGACTAGCACTGAGCGAGGCATATGGATGATAGATCCCACTGGAACCCTCCCGGAATGTATCCAGCCCAGCGTATTCAATATCAGCATACCAGATGCTGGAATCAGATGCCACCAATTTTGTACTGGTTCTATCATCAATGTACTCTTCTGTTGATGAATTGTAGAATTCTATTCCTCTCCAATGATCAAGTGCAAGACCAGATCTTAAGCCTTCACATTCAAAACCAATTGTCTGCTGGCCATCTAAAATAGGAAAAAGTAAACAATAAAAAAGGATATTGCTTATAAAAGAAAAAATTCTGAAGAGAATTTATAAGTACAAGAGAATCTGTTTTGACTGATTTAAAAGAAATGGATTCATGCCTTCCCTAAGAATATATGTGTGAAAGTAAATGTATTGACCTCAGTCAGAATTTAAATAGAGCATACTGCTCCAATTTTCTGAGCAAATAACTACTATGCTATATACAGGATACGATGGGTAAATTGCCACCATTTTATATTTTTAATTTAGTGCATACACATTGTTTTTGATTCTGTTTATTGTATAGTATAGTAGGGTCAGTTGGGCACCGTCTATGAGAAAAAGAGAACCATGACATAATTCACTTCACCAGAAATTTGGAAACAGTATGCTGTACAGCTTGGCATCCATGCCAGAAGTTCCAATACAAACATTTCAGAGTGTTTGGGTGTCAATCTGAAGACAGTGAAGAGGATTCAGAAAGAGTTGGATGAGTCTAATGGTGATTACGAATGTACGGCAGCTTGGAAAACTCACTCTGATAAGTGAAAAACTCCCAAATTTGTTGGTGAGGGTTTCAAGCTCAACATGTTGCACAAAATAAATTTTTTTTCATCATTAGTTTGCGAACATATCACTCTCTCCTTTTCTCTCTCTCTCTCTATATATATATATATATATATATATATATATATATATATATATATATGTGTGTGTGTGTGTTGATTATCTGCAAACAGACTGTTTCGCTGTATCTGAATCATCCAATTGGTAAAGACACCTGATTACCTCAAGTCAGGATCGAAACCCAACTGATGTGGCATCAGTCAGAGATTCCACCCCTAAGTTATCAGTGCCCAATTGAGAGAAAGATTAAATTTTACATACTTATTCTTCAGATAAACACACCAATGACCAATAGGGTTTAATTCATGGAAGATCTTTGCAGTATTAACAATAGTAGTCATTGTTTACAAATTTGCGCTTTATACATACACACGTGTGTGTGTGTGTGTGTGTGTGTGTGTGTGCGTGTGTGTACAGGGTGCAATAGAGGATAAATTTTCAACATTTTATATTCTTAATTTTGCACATGCGCGTTGTTGTTTTTTTATTTTGTCGACTGAGTCAGTTGGCATCATCTGTGAGAAAAAAAGAGCACATGACAATTCAATCTGCTAGAAATTTGCAAATGCCATGCTGTACTTGTTAGCATCCACACCAGAAGCTCAAAATATGAATATTTCTGATTGTCTGAGTGTCAATCTGAGGACAGTATAGAGGATTCGAAAAGAGTTGGATGAGTCTAATGGTGATTACAAAGGTACAGCAGTTTAGAAAACTCACTCTGATCATTCTGATAAGAGAAAAACTCCCAAATTTGTTAGTGAGGGCCTCAGACTTAACATGGTGGCCTCCATCAAATGCTGCTGGAAGCCCCTATGCCTGGCAACAGGACCCTGCACTATGCCAAACAAGCAGGAGAACCCAGTCATGGATATCAGACAATTTCTGCAACCACATCACCGCTTCCATCTGTCCAGCTTTCCCCAAACTGCAACCCCCTTGATTATTATGTGTGGGGCACAGTTGACCAACAAAACTCTTTGTAACACCAAAGATGAAATGAAGGCAAGGATTATGGTAGCATTCATCAACTTAAACAAGGAGACCATCCAGAAGAGTTACAGGAGATTTTGAAGTCATCTGGAGGCCATGGTTGAAGCCAAAGGAGATTTTATTTAATAAATTTACTCTTTTGTATTTCAAGATATTTTCATGTAATTTTGGTAAATATATGTCAAAATAAGATGCCAGTGTTATTTTCATTTTTGCGCAATTTAGACGACAATTTATCCATCGCACCCTGTTTATGCGCATACACGTATACATGAAAATTAATTTTCTTGCACCTAATTTAATTTTTAATGGTAAAAGCTAACTGAATTTAAAACTTTTTAAATACAGACTGTTGGTCAATTTCAATTCAACCTCAGATGAAATATTTAAAAAGATGTGTGCTACTTCTTAAATCATGACAAATTCTATTCGTATGGGTTTGTTTCACAGCCAGTCATTTACATGAGTAAGTTTTTCTTTAAATCCCATGAGTAAGAAAGAGAAATATAAAGAAAGACAGACAAAGAAGGATATACGATGATGGATGAACATTATTATTATTTGAGGCTTTTATTATACTTGTCAGAGCAAATTCCTTTTATTGATTTCTATTTTAATATACTATGTTCACCTATTATCATCATTATCATTTAATTTTGCAAGTTTTTCTATTTCATGAAGCATACGCTAAACTCATGAGAGCATTATCACCTTCCCCATCTTCTCTTTCTCACTGCAATTAAATAACATCTCTATCAATATTTTCTGTCTTTTCTCATGATCAAAACAAAACAGAGGTTTATCCCTTGTTTCCCCTCCCCCACATTCAGCATTGTGTTTCTGGTTCCTTCTAAAGTCTACTTCAACTTTATACTTCTAACATCCCTGCCAGAAATCTGAAATTTTCTCACTACTTCACTTTCTTACGTTCACACAGTAACCCTCTACTATGAGTGGCTTTCGGGTCTTGCATTAGGTGAACACAGAATATATATATATATATATTGGCAGGATGTGACATTAATATTAAAGGATCGATTGTTCTTTTACAGATTATAAACCTTTTGCATGTTATTTAAAGCCAGACAGTATTTTTAGCTGGTAAGAATTTTTTAGAGATACTGATACAAGTTCTACTAATTAACTCATAGCTGCTGGGGGAGATAAGGTGGATTCATACCTATACCAAGGGTATTTGCATGAAAATGAATATATAATGAAACCAACTAGAATTAGAACTTGGTTCTCCCATTTCCAATTCTGAGCCATTATCCATTACACCACCAAGTATTCCCAAGCAGTCACCCATTTACGCATTGACCAGGCTTGACATTGCTTAACTTCAGTGATCATATAAGAAGAACCAATTTCAGAACATGATAATTGTCATAAGTCAAGGAATGCAGGAACATGTGAGATTATATGATATGGATTCCAAAATCTTGGGTAAGACGTTAAACTACATCCAGCAGCAAGGCCTCTGTTCTTAATTGCTGGTGTTCCCAGGTCCACCCTGACCCGGGGTGGTAGCATCTGTTAGGGTCCCAGCTACGTGCAAATAGTTAACTATTACCAGCAATACTTTTTTGAAAACAATTATTACCATCAATACAATTTTGAAGGAAATATATTACCAGAAACAGATTTTGGACAAAAGAAAATATTACAAGCAATAAAAAATTTTATCGGCATTAAATAACTCATTGAGGTCGATATGCCGTAAAACAAAATAAACCAAACCAATCTAAACCAAAGAATACATATTCTATTCCTACTAATCTATGCTAAAAATGTTGTCGGTATTAAATAACCCATTGAGGTTGATATGCCATTAAACAAAATAAACCAAACCAATCTAAACCAAAATGTCAATGCTTTATTGGAAATTCCTCAAATTTAGAGATGAGTTACTCAAGCCTTCTTGTGTTCGCCAATGAATAGCAATGTTAGCAAATATACTTAGCACACACATCCACTCACTTACTGGATTACATGTTACACAAGAAATTTTATAGATAAAAAGTGTTGGCTGAAAGGGTCTCGTAAAGGTAAAATGACATATTTAAGTCTATTTTCTTCTATGAGTATACCATATTTCCCAACTTGTAAGACACATCCTAATATTGGAAAGAAATTTCTAAGAAAAAAAAAAAAAAGTCATTCTCATACAACATATTCACTATGCACCCCTCACATAGTAGCACCATGTACTGTTTACATTAATCATTCGTCTGATTTTGTTTCTATAGCAATGACATACTAGTCAAGAGCAGAAAGGCTCCTACCGCTGCTAGTAAACAGAGCATGTTTAAGCTTGTGGCTCAGCTCCAGGAAGGTTTATAGTCTTGGAAATACTTGTAACAGCTAAGTACTGAGGTTACATCATATAAAAGGCTGAATTAGATAGATAACTAACATTATAGTGTAAGGACCCAACATACAAATCCATGTCCCTATCAGTCATGCTAATTAGGTGACCATCCAAGCTTACTTGAGCCTGGGCATTGCATTATATTCGTCTTGGAAGATGCATACGTATTTTTCAGGGTATTCTTTCAGGAAAAAAAGTGTGTCTTGTAAGCCAGAAAATATGGTAAATCTTTATTTGTACACTTTCATTGTAGGTACCCCAGAAATGTCATTAACCAACTCAATCACTATTTGGTTGTGACACAAGGTCAACTCCTTGAGATTAAAATGATCTTTTTGGTTGTTGAAAATTAAAATCTGTTCTTTTTCAGTTGAGTGAGCCTTTATCAAACAGGAGTTTGCTAAATTGTTTAATTATTCCTCTTCATGCCTGCGCTTGTTTCCATCTATTTTGAATTAAATCAGAAGCAAGATAACATTTTTTGAATTCTTTCATTTTTCTCCTTATCTAGTTAATATCAAGTTGCAGTTAGAAAAACATGTTACAACAAGAGAGAAGAATTACTTGAATAACCTTGTCTCTAGAAGTTCCAGAATTAACAATGGAAATTCCAACAAACATATTTTCAATTTATTTCAGTGTTACTCTGAGAATGAACAGATGGATTTCTCTTTCATGGACTTGATTTCAGTATTCCCGCTTCTAGAATTTGCAAGGGACAGACTTTTTCTGAGTTTAAAATTCTGTACTCTCAGTTAAGTCAACATGTTCCTCCCTCTCCTGATAAAGGTTCCGGAATTAAAGCTAGACTGCTTGAATTGTCTAACGAATATTCTTCTCTCACTGCTGAGCAGGATTTTCTTGTATGGCAAAGTGTCCATTGTCGAACTATAAAATCCTTGAAGTTTAAAAATGATACATTATTTACATTATTTGGACTGTTGTTCTCATCTTTGTCACCATATTTATTACAACGTTCTCTTTATCCACTGTGCCACGTGTCCTTAA